GGTGGTCTTACTCATAAAGAAGGCATTAAGTACCTTGGCTTTTTCTATGTCATGTGCCACCATGTCCCTTCCCCCATTCAGCAGTGGGCACAGGATTTCCCTAGTTTTACTTTTCTCTTACTTGATGCCCTTTGTGTCCTTTGCCAGATTCAACTCCAGGTTGGCTCTGGTTTTTGTAACACCCTGGGCTTGATTTCATGCTATTTGGGATGGATCTTTCTTGAGTTTATAGAATCCTTGAGTATCACCCAGCTTTCCTGGACCCCTCTAATCTCCAGAGGTGTATTCTATGGGATTCTTCCAAGCAGATTCCTGAAAAGGTCGAAGTCTCCTGTCCTGAAATCCAGGACTATGGTCCTGCCTTTTACTCTGCTTCCTCCTCTTCATGTCTTTAGCTCCAGCATTCACATGCCACATCCACACGCCTCCAGGAATGGTGACTCCACCACTGCCCTGGGCAATGTTTTCCAGTGCCTGACCACACTTTCATGAAGAAATTTTCCCCAGTATCCAAACTAAACCTCCCCTGACACAACTTGAGGCCATTTCCTCTTGTCCTGTCACTTGTTGCTTAGAAGAAGACACTGACCCCTGACTAGCTTCAGCCTCCTGCCTGGGTGTTGTCTGCCCACATAAGAGCACTCATCTTGGTCTGTCCATGTCATTTGACTTTTATGGTCTTGATTGACTCCAGATTGATGCCAAGACACCAAGCTCCTCTTCCTTGCTGGAGTTATATGGCAGAGCCTTTCTTCATACATTCAGGGGAAAAAAAAGGACTTTAATTCCAGATTTGAGCCACTGTTCTTCAAAGAGGAGTTACTTCCAAGTACTTCCTCCCCCTGCATGTGTTCAGTCACTGTGTTTTGATTTAGCTTTATTAGATTTCAAATCAATATTGCTCTCCATACCAATGAGCTAATCCTCATTAAACCTTGCCCTGACAGCTTTCAAAGTGCAGCAGTTTCTTTATGAGTCTGTGAAACAGGGACAGCCTGAGCTCTTTGAAAGGGAGGAAATGGATTGGTTTTCCTATGCTGGAGTTAAAAACAGGTCACATTTTGGGGAGGGGGTTGGGTTATTCCAAATAAAAATCATAAGCAGTCTCAGACAGAGAACTGTGAATTTTATCTCGCCAATGAACTTACAAAAGGCTGACTGAATTGTAGTGAAAATTAAATTGTTCCTTTTTGTTTAGGAGCTGCTTTCAGAGAAGTTTACTGCATCTTGTTAGGAAGGTCTGGTTAGAATAACACTACCCTTGAGGTTTGCTCGAAACTGAGCGTCCTCAGTTTCCTCTTAACTAGCTCCATAAGAGTGCAAGTTTTCAAGAAATCTTTTTTCCAGCCTTACAGAGACAATTCAGGGAGTGATTCAAGATGATCTTGGGCAAACAGGCATCAAAAACCCTTTTAGAGAGTTTGTGTCTCTCATATTCTCACAGAACTTCATTGCCAAACACCTTGATGGTTGTTATGCTTCACCTCTGCAGGTTTGTGAATGGATCAGCATCTGTAGGTGCGGAGGCACAAGAGGCCCTTATTCCTTCAGAGGGAAAATTAAGTGGAAATTAAGGGGGTGTCATTACTCAGGCCATGTGATTTCAGAGCTCTTCATGCCAAGGTTGCCTTTACCTTCCCCTTGAGCGGTTGTTTTGGACCTAGTTTGCAAGACAAAAGGTGTACTTCACAACTGCTCTTTCCATGAGGCTGAAGAACAGAGGGAGCTTCACCTGTGATGAGTTAAGAGTTTATTTATTGGTTCACCTCTGGGTTGTTTTCAGATTATATCCAAACCCAACGAACCAGCTCGGCAGCATGAAAGCCATCCCGAGGAGACGGAGGAAGAGTTACGGGAACACCAGGCCCTTCTGGAGGAGCCATACAGCGACCGAGCCACGAGCCAAAAGGAGGCCCCAGGGTTGGCCAACATGGTGCAAGTGAAGCAAGAACCCATCGAGAGTGATGAGGAGGAGGGAGAGCCACAGCAGGAGCTGGAGTCTGGGCAGAGACAGGCTGAGCAGGAGCTGCTCTTCCGTCAGGTGAGCTCACAAAACACTAAGTTTGGCACTTGAGTCTTCGTAGAGTATTGATGGGGTCATGATAGTCACCTTGTACTGCTCCAACGGGGAGAAGCTAAGGGGAATCCTCTCTTGAGGACTGGCTGCGTAAACAAACTTGAGGCAAAATCAGGTGATTCCTTCCCTGGAGTCACCTGTTAGCACAGAAGTCCCAGGGAGAAGAATCTGGATCTCCTGCACAAAACACAGTCAGAGTGTTCACAGCCAGTGAACCACTTCCTGGTTTTTCTTTGGGAAGACAAAGTGTATCTTAACATTTCTGGGCACTAGCTACCTGCAGAGGATTTTATTTTGGTTTTATGTTCTAAAAGGAATTGCCCCATAGAGGGCCTGCATATGGGAACAGGGGATGAGGTACAGTGGAAGAGGTTCCTCCTTCAGAATGAAAGACCCCAGAGCCTCCAGCCAGGCTCACTTTTGAGGGTATATATTGGAGACTTGTGGATTACAAATAATAAATTCAGTAACAAGGTAGTATAGTGTAATGGAGCTGATCCATGTCCCCCAGGAATGTCACTGGGCTGTTGCTCAGAGACTACATTTGTGCAGGGAAGTAATGGCTGCCATTCCAGGCCAGGTTGGACAGAGCTTGGAGCAACCTGATCTAGTGGAAGTTGTCCCTGTCCATGGCATGGGGCTTGGAACAAGATGGGCTTTAAGGTCCCTCTTAAACCAAACCATTCTGAGGTTATGTAATTCAGTGTTGCTGATGTTCGACCACAGTGATACCATTCCCCCTGCCCTAATCTTGAATCCACTGTCACACCTGAGCAGTCTTTAAAATAGTATCTCCTTTGCAATCAAGAGGGAATAAAGAGAGGAGATGGGTTGGTGTGTGGCAAGCTGGAAGTCTTCTGACCAGAAGACTCTTCAGCTGATGGTATGGCTGCACAGAGAACCAGGTTGGTTCAGAGCTCCATCTCCAGCCTGGGATCCAGCTGAGTCAGACTCATTCCATGGTCTGGAATATAACACTGTTAAATGCCCCAGTGTAGCGGGATGGGAGCATGGGGGGAAGAAGGTGAGGCTGGTCTCAGGGGAGCATGGAGCTACCTCTGCTGCTGTCAGTGTGCTCCAGGCTCAGGGCTGGGGTTTCATGTGCTGTGCCTGCCTGACTTAGCTCTATAAATGTGCACATCTTCACTTGCAGCCTGCAAGGAAAGGGAATCCAAACCTGCCAACCTTACAGATCCGTAAAACCCCTTTTAGGAAGGCACTTTCAGCAACTACCTGCTTCTTTTCCCTGCAGCAAGCACTTCTCTTGGAGCAGCAACGGATTCACCAGCTGAGGAACTACCAGGCGTCGCTGGAGGCAGCTGGAATGCCTGTCTCCTTCGGAGGGCATCGGCCTCTGTCCCGGGCACAGTCCTCGCCCGCCTCAGCCACCTTCCCAATGTCCGTACAGGAGCCACCCACTAAGCCAAGGTTCACAACAGGTGAGGTTTGGGACACTGGAGGCTGGAGTGATGGCTCTGTGGTCACTGGTTTGCCTTGTGTTGGGCTTCTTCTTTTTTTTTCAGGGTCATGGAATGGTAGGACAAAGGAGAATGGCTTTAGGCTTGGAGTAGTCTTAGATTGGATATTAGGAAGAAATTCTTCCCTGTGAGGATGGTGATGCACTGGCACAGGTTGCCCAGAGAAGCTGTGACTGCCTCATCGAGGCCAGGCTGGATGGAGCTTGGAGCAACCTGGTCTAGTGCAGGATGTTTCCACCCATGCAGGGGAGTGGAACAAGATGAGCTTTAAGGTCCTTCCAAGACAACCATCCTGTTACTCTATGATTTTCTGCCCTGTCCCTCCAAAGCCATCTGCTTGGGGTCTGCATCTCAGCCTCATTTGGGGACTCCATAACATCCTGTCTTCTTCAAGGAGAAGATTTAGTTGTCTTACATGCTGTTGTCCTGCTTGGTCCTTCCCCAGAGAGGCAGACACCTATAATCCAGACAGAAAATAACCTGGTCAAATCAACAGCAGCACAGCAGAGCACTGTCTCTCCAGCAAAACAGTGCGAGTCATACACTGTGACAAAGCTGATTTCGATGCAAGGCAGGGAGAGTCAGTGTTGTTGAAGGACGGTGTGCCAAGTGCAGTGTTTATTGGCTCTGTTTCCTGCACCTTCTCCGTTGCCTGCACAACCTCATGCCATAAGTTATCCACTCTGGGCTCTGTGCCAGCCCCTAGCCCTCCTCCTGTAGCACAATCTCTGCCCAGGAGTCTGTGGCTGTAGGTTAGAAAAAATTAGCTAAGTTGATGATTTCAAGTTGTCTTGAAGAGACAAGCAGACCCAGGAGTGTTTTCTTACCTGTTCAGTCTTCATCTCAAAGGAAAACAGTGACTGCAATCCTGCACCTGTCTGGTGGAAACCAGAAGTGCAAAATAGGTCTGGATCCTCATCCCTGGAAGTATTCAAGGCCAAGCTGGATGGGGCTTAGAGCAACCTGTTCTAGTGGAAGGTGTCTCTGCCCATGGCAGAGGGTGGAACAAGATGGTCTTGAAGGTCCCTTTTGACCCAAACCGTTCTGTGATTCAGTGATCTCCACAGCAAGTTTAAAAGCAAAGGATAATTGTTCTTCCTGAATCCTGACAACCAGTTTTTTTCCTCCAAGATCCTTTCTGTGTCTTCAGAAGCCTTAGCAACAGCTCAGAGTTAATTTTCTGTGCAGCTTCTCAAGGCCTGTGCTGGGTGATGATGAGGACTTACTTTGCAGTCCGCCTTCTTCCCCAAATGTCAAGTTCTGTTTTGTGAATGAACACTTTGCAACATGATGTGTGCCCTGGGAAAAGGAAAGAGAGTGGGGAAAAACTCCAGATGCCCAAATAAGAATGAGTCATGATTTTGTTTCCCTTACACTCATCCATTTATTCCACTTTTAACCCACACTTGTTGCATCATTCACCTCAGCACTGTGAGTCGGGTTTATTTTCAGGCACAGATAGTGTAGTAATAGTGACCTGTTCAACATGACTGTTCCTCAGCTGCTGGATGTAGGGTGTGCCATCAGCTCTAAAATCCCAATGAATAGCTCAGTCTTGCAAAACAGCCCTTTAAGTCTCTCTTTGTTAGTACTGAACCCTGGGATTTCAGCAAAACTGCATTTCTAATGCAGTCAGTTCTAGTCAGATCAGTAGATCGTGGCTTTTGCCAAGGATGCAAAGAGTAGGCCCTCACTCAGGGTCAACCCAGATGGAACTTGAGCTTCTAACACACGTAACCCCAAACCTTGGTGCTTTGAAAACAAGGCCTTACTTGAAGAGATTATTCGTTCCTTCTCTTTCTCCTCTCCTCCTCCACCAGTACTGAACTTGCCTTGTCAATCATGTGCAAGACTTTGAACATAGAATAGCATTTCCTACCAGAGGATGTGTGTTTGGCTCAGTTAAGTGCCTCTAAATTTCATTTCAGATTGCAGGTAGCAGTAAGAATGTAGATTTGAGAGCTGTACTGCTTGGAGAAGACATTGTTCCAGTGTTAGGATTTTTTTCTCCTGGGAGGCAGAGCTTAAAATAAGGTGGAATATCACATGGCTTTGATAGGGCACTGCATGACCCACTCTGATGACGTGAAGGGTGCTTAGTGTAGTCTACCTGTTAAATATCCTTTCCACAGCATTTATCCCTATTAGGACTCCAAGGGCCTTGGCTCACCCGTAGCCTTCCATCTCTGCATTTATGCTGATTGAATGGAGAAGGGGAAACGCAGCAAAATACTGTCCAGGCAGGAAGTGTTGGGCATTCTTTGGCACTAATAAAGGTGCAGAGCATAAAGGCAAGACCTATATCCTAGTCCTATAACTAGTCCATGGAAGGTGGAGAACTGGTTTAATTAATCATCACTGGCTGTTTAACACAGGCAGGAAAAAAGAGCCCACAGCTCTGGGCATGAAGTAGGAGAAAGGAAAGGAAAAGCATTTCAGCTGCTGAGCATGTGTGTGAGTTAAATTGCTTCATGTTTTCTTGGAGTTGTCCATGGTGCATTGGAGACTGTGTTTTTTGGAGGTGGATACTGAAGCTTAATCACTGGGATTGAACTGTTCTTTGAAAGGCAGGAAATTAAAGTCTTGGGTACTTTTCAATGCAAGCAGTGCTGAAGTGCATCAAACTGCTTTTTGCCTAGGAAAATCCATCTGGTTGATAAGTGGCTGCTTTGGAGACTGATCCCAACACCATTATGGGCTTTGGATTGCAGAGGAATGAGGATTGGAATCAATGTGATCGTTTGGTGAGAGGGCTGGAAGAAGCAAACATCACTGAATGGTTCTAACTAAGCCAACCCTGATCACTCTGGCCACAAATGTGGCTCTTATGCGATCAGTTATTATCCTACAGGCAAAGGAATTATTCATCCCTTTCATGTTTGGGATATTGTGTAGAAATAATACAGGAAGCTAGTGCTTTCTCTGGACAGAGTTAGCTCCAGACAGCTGGAAATTCTGGGGTTTATGTATGTTTTATTTTTCTGTCTTGGTGACCAACACCTAAGACTTCAGAGGTACAGGGGAAGGGACCTCTCAAACCTGAGGTCCATTACTTCACATCAAAGTGAAAGCCATGCCCTTCCTGACTTCTTCAAGCAATCAGCTCAATGTCCCAAAGCATGACATTTCATTTTCCTTCCTTCTGGAAAGGCAGTCCTTGAAGTTGCCCTCCCAAGCTCAAGCAATCCCATGACTTTAATGAGTACTTGTGCCTGACTTGTTCTACACACTGGAATAAGGATCCTCAGGTTAGGCCATTCATTTGCATAGCTCCAATTATCCAGTCTCTGATCTCCTGTAACAATGGGTCCACAAATTATTTTGATGTTCTGCATTAAAGGGTTTTTCCTTCCTGATTTATCCTCTCCTGTGCAGAGCAATACAATTATTTGAACCTCAGATCATGTGTTTGTTCTGCCAAAAAAAGACAGTTGGTTATGCTTTAGTGCTGACCTTTAAAAATTATTGTTCTTATGTCTGAAAGAGTTTTGCTTCCAGCATGACTTAATTTCACTTGCAACGGCCAGTGGAGTTTTGTGTTTTAGGCCTAAATTGCCAAGTTTCCCTCTCTATGTGAGTGTGGATGGGGTGGGGAGGGGTTGGAGATGTGTATGGGAGGGTGTTTGTGTGTGTGTGTGTTTGTCTGTGTGTGTTTTGTGTGGGTGTGTCTGTGTGCATGTGTGTGTTTGTGTTTGGGGGGGTTGGTGTGATTTTGAGTGTCTGTGTGTGTTTGGGCGTGTGGGTGTTTGTGGGGATGGGTGGGTGGGTGTGTGTTTGTGCCTTCAGCTGAGCATCCCCAACCACAGGAAGGAGCTGGAAACAGCTCCTTTCTAATGGGTTAATTTCTAGGCAAGAGATGGTGACTGATGTGTGATTACAGTGCAAAGAATTTCATTGAGACACTGCTGTTATCATTGAGTCACTGAGAAAGGAGAAACTATTGATCAACCAAATTCTATAAATGCTGGGTTTGTGGTGGGATAGAATCCCATAATGGTTTGAGTTGGAAGGGACCTTAAAGATCATTTAGTTCCAACTTCCACTAGACCAGGTTTGTCAGAGCCCCATCCAACCTGGTCTTGAACACTTTCAGGGGCACGGCATCCACTGCTTCTCTGGGCAACCTGTGCCAGTGCCTCACCTCACCAACCTCACAGGGAAGAATTTCTTCCCAATAGCTAATCTAGATCTCTTTTAGTTTCAGACCTTGCACTAGTTTAAGTTAACTGGGCTGCTCACATGGACAGCCATTGGTGACAGCTTCTCCTCAGGTGACATTTCATGCTTTCAGCTCCTCATGATATTTGATTCTGTGAATCAAACATGGAAGACCTTGAAAGAGCCTTGCAGCACAACCTTATTTAACTGAACTTTGGCTCACCCAAAGGTGAGCTCTGTTTCTCTTCCTACAACTGAATGTGGTTTGGGTTTTGTGGGGTGTTTTTTTTCTTTTGCCCTCACCTACAGCAAAGCAATGAGCTGCCAGATACCTCTCCTAAGGCTGAATACCTGAAAGAGTCATGGCCAGGGTTTGGTCAAAGCAGAAAGCCAAATTTTTCTATGGCAGAACATGCCCACACTCGCTCAGGAGGTGGGATTGCCAAGCTTGGGAACATGGAGCAGCACAGCACTCAGCTCCAGGCTGCATGTGCGTGGCTGTTCTCGGAGTTGAGTTCCTTACAGACCCCTTTGAAGTCCCTGCAGTTGCTAATTGTGCTGTTTATCCACACTTGAACTGCAAAGAGGGAAGGCAGCTCTGGTGAGCTCCAGCAGTGGGGCTGACACAGCCCCCCATGGTGTAGGTATGCTCATCTGGGATTTCCAAGGAGAGATACCCATTGGAGTGCAGATCCTTGAACATCAAGATCTGGGACTAGTTCCTGCCTTGCTGGCTTCAAAGGGTTTTTGTTCTCATCAAGACCTTTGATTTCATAGCAATCACAGAAAACTTTGGATCGGAGGGGACCTTAAAGCTCATCTTGTTCCCCCCTCCTGCCATGGGCAGGGAC